GATCAGCAGCTTTTTTCCCTTTTAAAGGAAAAAATCCCAGAAACACTTCTCTTACTTCAACTTTTCTATTATGAATTTTCACATATCTGATAATTTCAGACATTTGGTCATTGTGTGATGCGTCAGGTGTGCTATCAAACATGATACCAAAATACCGGGCAGATTTTATATTCATGATAAGCTTCTCCTTCACATGATTTGCTAGGACATGAATAAACTCATTCTGAGTATTTGGTGCAAGATAAGATGCTGATGCTTTAGTTTTATGTGTGCTTTGCTTTAATCTTAATAGGTGCTCTTTTAGCACTGAGTCATATTTAGAAAGCATCTCAACCATTTCAAGAAAGTTTCCTTTATTTAATGAAGATTCTTCTTCATTGTGGCCCCGAAAAGCCAGATTTTGCTTGGCGAGAAACAATGTAATATCGAGCAGCCTATGCAAGATGTCTCTCCACTTTTTCTTCTCTATGTCTATCAAAGCAATATTTTCTGCATCAATTGTTTTGTGCATTCTAAGTCTCACCTCCAAGGTTTTCCATTTTTCAAAGCAATGCAAGTGAGCATCGGATGTCTCATGATTAGGCACTTTCGGGCTCATTTTCCACCATGTCTGAAATCCAGTCACAAATTTGGATGTTGTGTCTGTAGCATTAACGGCAAAGAGTCGCCAGCAAAAACAATATAATTTCTCACTGACGGGAGAATAAACCATCCATGTTCGCAACACCTTCTCACCATTTGGCATCACCATATAAAACCACTCTTTAGATAGCTGGCAAACATCACCTTTAGCTTTTAGATCTTGCCTCGTCAACATCCTGAAAGGCCCATCTTTGTTCTGGAGATATGCACTTCCTCTTTTGATGATTTGAACGCGCAATTGATCTGGAATTGGTATATTCCAATAAGAAGCCTCATCCAAAACATTCCAATTTTTCCCCGTAAGTTCATTTTCAGTATCATATTTAGAGTCACTATTATCAGTCCACTCTTCTGCTACAAATTCATCTATTTCTTTATCTTGTTCTGCTCTATTTTTTTCTATATTAATGTTTTCCTCTGCTGACTGCATACCAGCATCAGATAAATTAGTCTCATCATTTTGTGGTTGAGGAACTGTGTCTTTGGAAGAACTCTGGGCCTCATCTGATCCCTTTACATATTGCATCATAGATCCGCGCAATGTAGATAGTATTTCATCTTTCTTTATTTTGGCTTTTCTTTGTTGACATCCGCTTAGCCTTTTTGTTGTATGAACTCCACCTCCACGTGGCATGAAATAATATCCTTCAACAATAAATATATAAATATAAATAAATAAAATGAAATTATTTGAAATTTGGTTGGTTAAATTAAATGTAAAAATTTTAAAATTATTTAAATGCTAATAAAACAAATTATATTTGTACTTACGGATCAACTTTTGTGAAATTACTTTGAATTGTTGTCTTATATCATTAAATTGATTAAAAATTAAATAATTTTTTACTTTAAGTAAATTATAGATTATTCTCTTAAACTTGACTAACACACGCGCGTAGTAGGTGGGCAAAACAAACACTGTTGTACGTTATTAGACACGAACAAGTTAAATGTGCGCGGCGCTTAATAATTCGGACGTCAAACGGTATAAACGTGGAATACAAAAATGGATGATTTGAACGAAAGAAATTTTATTCATAATACATTTCTGGGCGCTGGGCGGGTTAGGCTGAATCAATGCTAAGAATAATTTCATGGAGGGACATAAAAACATATACAGTGATATTTTGGTGTCACCCCTTGTGAGGGTGTCACCCGGTGCGGTCCGCACCCCCCTAGTGACGCCCCTGTCTAGTTCTAATTAATTAACCAATTATTTGTTGTTGATAAAACAAGAAAATTTCGATGCCAGTACAAACGTCGATTTTTTAAAGTACACGAACGAACATTTTTGAATATTGAAATTTTTGAGTTTTTTTTTAACATTAATTTATTAGACAGTTTAAAAAATAAAAAGTCAAAAATTCAAAATAAAAATACAAAAAAGCCTCTCTTCTACTAGTATGAGTCTAGTTTTTCCTGGCACAATGTAACATTTGTAAAACTTTTAAGAAAGTGACATTTATAAAATCAAAATGGATCAAAATTCAGTTAAATTATTAAGTTAAAAATCGATTAAAACTGCCATAGAATGATTTCAGCAGTAAAAAATGTTTACAAGAATTTGCCGCCGGTAGCACAAGAACAGGGAAGAAGCTAAATATAGATTGGAAAACTGAAAAACCCATTGACAATTTGGTGCTAAAAAATTTTGCTTCCAAGCTTCCTGACCTTGAGAAGAAGGTCAACACTATAAAGCCATTCTTATATATAATTCAATGGTACACACATACACCACACACACACACACACACACACACACACACACACGCACACACACACACACACACAGCAACAGTACATTTCCGGTATGGTTGTTGATGATTTGTTAGATTTTTTTAATAATAAAATTAGTAAAATTGTTAATAAATTATTTGCACTAGTCCAATACATTCGGTTGAAAGTCAATGTAGTTCGACAGTGCCATGATTTAATAAAGAATGCAAGCAACTGAAGAGATAGTGTCGAAAATTAAAAAGACGCTGTAAAAGAACTCTACCAACAAATAGTAAAGAAGAATAGGTTAACGCAATCAACATAAAAAAAATTATTTTTAACTGACCAAAGAAACGTTTTGTAAAACATGCATAGGTGAGAATGGATGAGTTTTTTAGAAATAAAATAAAAAAAATCAACATGATACATTAGGTGGAGTCGGCCCCTTATTTTCGAGAAGACAAACTAAAGATGAAGAAACATTTTCTGACAGCCTACCGATTCACATATCACATGCAATGGATGTGATGCGTTGGTTCACGTGTATTCGCCAGACTGTCGGACAAAGTTGGAGGTTTTTACCGGAGTCGGAATTTTGTGAGAAGTCATATACATATTTTTCACCCGACTCCTAAAGTGTTGAGGATTTGAGTTTTTTTTATACTAAGATCATTCTAAGTGGTTATACCTCAACCCTTGACGCAGAAGAATTGGTAAAAGATATGTTTTACGAATGCCTTTATATCAGCTTTCAGAAAATACATAAAAATGACAAAATTGTAGTTTTTGGCAATTTCAACCCAAGGGTTGGAACACTGTTGATAAGCTTATTCCTCTTAAATCTTTTACTTATAGGCTCTATCCTCGTAAGGCTCCTTGGTTTGATTATGCTTATGTAGTAGCCAAGAAAAGTCTTAGAAGACTGGAGAAAGTCTATAGGTTAAATCCATCTAACTCTCTTTATTCTATCTATGAATCTGAATTGATTAATTATAAATATCTACTATTCTCTAAGCACTCTACTTTTCTTAGAAATTCTATAACATCTGCTTCAACATCTAAAAATAGGTGGTCTGTTCTATCTAAACTTCTACATAAAAAATCTTCTCACTCATCTTTTTCTGCTCAACAGTTTTATGACTTTTTTGTAAATAAAATTACTTCTTTAAGAACATCTAATTCTAATTTTTCTTCTCATAACTTTACTAAACTTACTACTGAATCTTTCTCTGTATTTACTCCAATAAATCTTTTAGAACTAACTGAAATTATTAATTCTATGTCGTCTACAACCTGTTCTCTAGATCTACTTCCTTCTAATTTACTTAAAGAATTTTCTTCAATATTTTATCCAACCATTCTCAAATTAGTTAATTTATCTCTTTCCACCTCTAAATTTCCTACTTCTTATAAGGATTCTTTTGTTATTCCCATTCTTAAAAACTCATCCCTAGATCCTATCTCTTTATCTAATTATAGACCTGTTACTAATATTACTTTCATCTCTAAAATAATAGAAAAAGTTGTTTTTAATCAACTGCCATCCTATTTAGACTTTAACTCTTTGCTACCTGTAGCTCAATCTGGTTTCAGACCTGCTCACAGTACTGAAACTCCTTTACTTAAAATACACAATGATATCCTTCTCTCTAGTGACAATAGTAATCTTACTCTTCTTCTTGCTCTTAACTTTTCCTCAGCTTTTGATACTGTTGACCATACTATTCTCTTGAGACTGCTGCATCTTTCTTTTAATATTACTGATTCTTGTCTATCTTGGTTTTTTTCTTATCTCTGTAATCGTTTTTCTTCTGTTGTTCTCAATAATTCTACTTCTAACTCCTCTACTCTTACTTTCGGGGTACCTCAGGGTTCTATCCTTGGCCCTCTTCTATTTATACTCTATACTTTTGAACTACCTCGTATTATTAATAACTTTTATTTCTCTAGTTAACTATATGCTGATGATTCTTACAATTATACTTCATTGAGGAGCGCTGTTGAACATCGCGGAAATAGCGCTTTATAAGCTAATTGATTGATTGATTGATTGAAACTTCAGCCTCTAAACTGGCATCATTGGCAAACATAGTCTAAAAAGCGCGAACGGTAGCGGAATCAGACTCATTAACCTTTGTGCGGAATTTGGATTAGTTAATACCAACACCCTCTTCCAGCAGCGTAGCCAAAAAAGGCTACCTGGATGTACCCATGGTCTAAACACTGGCATCTTTTGGATTATATCATAACCAGACAACGCAATGTCACCGATGTCAGTCATACACGAGTTAAGAGAGTTGGACTGATAATTGTCTAGTCATATCCTAATTTGCAATTAAGTTAACCCCACCAACTCGTATGTGAAATCTAGATAAAAAACTGAACATTAAGGTTTGCCAAAATCTGATAGTGCAAGAAAAACTTTAGGAAGATTTTTCCAAATACTCAACAAAGTCAGCTGTACACTATATCTCAGCAACCTACTGGTGTACCTTCAGTGACCAATAAATGGTCAATAATCAGCTCCTGCATACTGTAAACAGCTACGAAGGTTCTTGTGTGAGAATAGATCTGGCATCCTTAATCTTTAGCAAACAAAAAATAAAGCCCATAAAATCAGACCTAGCAATTCAAACTCACCCATTTTTAATCTTGCATGGAAAGCATCATGTACAAAGGTTCGGCAAAGGCAGCGTTGCATGGGAAAAAATTGGTGGACAGAGAAAGCTAAGGAACTACAGAGATTAGCGGATACAAAAAATATGCAAGGCCCAAAACCCTGCTCATCCGGTTAAGTCAAAAAATGGTCTTGCAGTGATTAGAGACCTTGAGGGAATTGTGTCACGCTGGGCCAAGCAATTTAAGGATTTGTTGAACTGTGTCAACCTTGTGAACCCGACGTTTATAGAAGCCCTTCAAAAACTTCCGACGGTTGCTGAGCTTGATAACCCTCGTGCATTGATGAGGTTCTGTAGGCCGCCAAGAAAATAAAAAATAAAACGGCAGGACCAGCGGCATTTCCGCAGAGATATACAAATATGGTAGCCTCTGTCTATGTAAGCGATGGTATAATTTCATTTTTCAAGTGTGGTCTACTGGCATAGTACTATAGTAATGGAAGGATGGAAACATCATGACCATCTACAAAAAGAAGAGCGATAGTGTGGTAACAGTCGTGACATATCCTTTCTCTCCAACGCTAGCAAGATTCTGGCGCATGTCATGTTGAAATGATTTCAAAAACTGTTGATGTTGTCATGCCAGAATTGCAATGTGGCTTCCGAAGCGGTCGTAGCACCACCGATATGATTTTTACCGTACGCCACTTGATGGAAAAATGCTTTGAACAGAACCAGGATTTTTTCCTGGCCTTCATCAATCTAACAAAGGCTTTTGACATGGTCAACAGAGATTTGTTATGAAGTGAATGATCCTAGGTATTAATAGATTTGGCTAGCCGCCAACATTTCTGACTGTACTGCGTGAATTTCCTACAAGTAAGAGGGCCAAATTTATTGCTGGTGGTAAGAAATCTAAAACATTTGATGTTTTTGTGAAAGAAAAACAGGACTGCGGGAATTTTTTTTTGTTTTTTTTTCACACATTCTAATTAACGTTGAAATAACTTTTGATGTTATATTTTATTAATATGCTTTATTAATTTGTCGTAAAAACATTAAGGTTTGTTATTTTGTACAGCATAAACTAAGTCATATACATAGATCAAAATATATAGGCCTTTGCGCTATAAAAAAAACTGCTTCTTGGTAATTACCATATTGCACATATGTTTCATTGAGCTATCGGAATCCATCGATGATACACAGACAGTTGATATTTCTTTTTAATTAAAATTTAAATGCTTGTTTGTCTATGTTTATCGTTATTATTCTAAACATATATTTTGAATTAAAATATATGGTTCTGAATTATTGTTGTTTTTGCCAAAATCGGCTGATTGTTATGCAAAGATTGTGGTAACTATTAGCCAAGCAGAAACTTTGTTGGTTTTGTCCAAAGATGAATTGTTCGAAGTTCTGTTGGGTTGTTGAGACAGTTAATACGATGCTGAAATGTTAAAAATTGGGAGAATTGATTGTTGTTACATGCTGGGAAGATTTTTTGGATGTTTGGGTTGAATCTGTTCTGGTAGTTGTTGAGTCGTTCTGAATTATTACGAAACGTTTGTGTGCGTTGTTTTATTGGTTACTCAATGTTTTATACTGCTCATTATAAATAAATATATATATGTATGTATATGATGTTATAGTAATTGTATATATTATTTAAATTTATATAGCTTTCCATATACAACTCCAAAGCAAAATATCAAGCTTTTTTAATAGATGGTTTTAAAGTTTTTACTCTCGATTTGGACTGATTTGTTCCTTATTTGTTTAATCACTGATCGTTCGCCAGGACGCTGCCTGCCTCTTGCGTCAAATCAAAATATGTTGCCGAAGTTTTCTTTTGAATGTATTTTGCCAACCAAACGTTTCTAAAAAAAAATATAAAAATTAAAAAAGTTGTCAGTTGGTTTTCATTTTCAGTTTTGATCTAACATTCTAATAATTTTGATTTTGAATTTTTTTTAATCTTTAATTTTTATACATATTGTTTATAAATTTATCGTCACATATAATATATATATATATATAATATACAAAATACATAGATATATTATGTATTCAATATTCATTGTCATTCACCAATCACTTTGATATTATTATTGTTTTTATTTTATATATTTTACATTACTTTTTAATCATACATAATTAATTAATTTAATCAATAACTAGTTTACTAATGTGCATGTTTTTCAGGAAACTTATCAAGGACAATTATCAGCACATAGCAGCACAACTGTAAAAAGTTGAAAAAATAAAAAATATAATAATGGACAATAATAAAATAGTTAACAACAATAATGAGGTGGTAAATGCGATCCAGAAATCTTCTAATGAAATCAATGCAAATATTGGCGCAACTATTCAGTCATATACATTTCCATTTTCTGTTGTAAATACAACACCAAATGTTCAAACACTTGTTACTTTAGCCCAAACGTTATCAGACAATTTACCTTTAATGAGTGCATCATCTTCAATATTATCCTCAACAACCTTTGTTGGTGGTTTTCAAAACAATGTTTTTTTTGATGTTGTTACTGAGAATAGTGCTAAGCAATTTAAATTAAATATTATTAATGAGGTTAACAGCAGCAATAGTCACAACTGTGAAGATAGGAACAGTAAGAACATTAATAACATAAAGAATAGAAGCAATGACACGTGCAGTGATGACAACCAAAATAAAAATGTTGCTTTTAACAATTACTCTGGTGCGGGTCCGAGGATAGTAAGTTATGTTGAAAATGGTCATCTGCATGTTGACGTTGAATCAGTTAAATGCACTGATAGTTTACATTGTCAATCAGCCAATCCAGATAAAAAACAAGTTGCCAATTTAGACAGAAGTTTTGATAACGATCAAAAAACGAATGGTGCAAGTAAAGACGATGATAACAACATTTTCAGTTATAAAGAAAATGAAGATGATGGTGGTATGATACAGAACACAGAATCAGAATTTGAGTTTGAAAGCACAGAAGCAGATCAATATAAGATGGAACCAGAAGCTGATCAGATGAATGATGATGAAAACTGCAACAATGATGGTTTTGAAAATGATAACATCAACATTGGTTGTCATGCGACAAATGAAAGTCTTAATAACCACCATGAGGATTCAAGTGATGAAGCTGCTGATGAAGTTGCCAAGCTGAGTTTTATTAGCAACATTAACTTTAGTAGCAGCAATAATGTTAACAGAAATTCAATTATTAACAATACATCAATTGTTAGTGACACTAATTTTGCTGGGAACTCTATAAATTTTATTAATGATTTAAAATTAAATGGTGTGCCACATCACAGTCTACAAGCAGTTTCTGGTGGCAACTTCATAGATAATGCAAAATTATTTAATAAATCCAATAGTAATATTCAGAATTATAATCATTATGATAACAAGAAAAGCAACTATTTTAATAATAATACTGACAAAAATATTGTCAATTGCAACATCAAAGATATGATTGGTGATAATAAAAAAAAAGATTTTGATAGTGTTTTTGATGATTTGAACTTGAATAATTTTTCTAACAAAAAGGTTGTTGATACGGAAGGGTTGATGACATCAAAAAATTCAGTTCCTGATCAGTTTACACATGGAAAGTTTGCTGTTGACTGTTTGCAAGGTGATGGAGTCTTTTTGGCCAGCTGTGACTGTGAGATGAGTAACACCAATAATTTGAGCATTAACAATGAAAAAATATTTGATGATGCTTCTGCGATGCATCTTAGCAACAAAAAAAATATTAGCCCCAAAGATATTAAATGTGATGAACCAATCAGCAGCCAACTGTTTGGCATACACCTTAACAACGAATATGTTACTTCAAATTGTAAAGATGGTGGTGATAACAATGAGAGCAGTAGTCATGGCAATCAGTTGACTGAAACTCAATCACTTCCCTTGTTTCCTCTAAGTAAGTGTAATTCATTGATGGCTTCCCCATCGTCGTTGTCATCTCCATTGCATCATTTCAAAATAAAAGCCAGTTCCCTTGTTTCGTTGGAGGAAGGAGCTAAAAATCATTCGAATAAAATCAACTTCTTCCATAGCAACATCGATGATGATGAGAGCGCTACGTTCTGCTCGGTCAAACATCAAAACAAGGATTATTTTAAGACGAAGAGACAATGGAATGAAATATCTCTAACATCCATCTCCATGGACAGCAATATGACTCCATCCAATCATTTTATTGGTGATGTTGACGTTGATTTGAATTCATGGGATCATATAAGCAGTGGTTGTGCCAGACAGACAGATTCAACAAATTTTGGCACAAATTTCTCAAACACTTCTTCACAAAAATGTCATTTTCTACAACTTCATCATGCAAATTACCAACCAAGAGTTAGTATTTTGATAACAGTGTGTTTGCTTGATTTGATTGAAACATATGAAACATTTACACATATCTGTTGGTGAGATGGTACCATCACAAATAATAAAATTGTTCTGCATTCTTGCAACTCTGTGTAGTATTGTTAAAACTTATAATGTATGTTATTTGATATTCATTTGTAGTTTAATTGCACTTGTGCATAACTTTACATGATGAGTGAAGTCAGTCTCAGGAAAACATTTTATGAGATTAAGAGGATTTTTTTATAACTTGTGACCTTGAGGAATAAGCTGAGTGGCAAAAGTTTGCAGTTCAAGTAAAGCCTAAATTTGGTTCAGCCATGTTTGTATATGGTGAAAAGGTCGAAATGAAGAGATGTTGGAACACAATGATGGTAGGTAAACCAACCTAAAAATAGTTCTGCTTGCAGAGGCTGAAGCAAGATTTGAGTATGTTGAATTTCTAACCAAGATTTTTGACGCCATAATGTGTGCGCTGATCTCCCTGCTTGGTCATCTTAAACATTATTTACTGACTTGTTGATTTTTTTTATGATTTCTTCAAATATTTCTCTGACAATTACATCATATTTTTTTCTTACTTTACTAACATGTCTTGCCAAGAAGGTGATCGATCACTCTTTAATTCATTTTTTCTACTTTTTTGTTATTTTAGTTCATTCTTTGTCGCATTCATTTATTAATTCTTCACGCGTTCATTTATCCGTTCATTCATTTATTCTTTCTATAATTTTTATTCATACAAAAATTTTTATTCAAAATTCAGTTTTTATTTATCAACAACCCAGTTTCATTCATCTTTTTATCTGTGTATAAAATAATATTATTTACTTTGTTTTTCATTCTTTCATACACTTCTATTTACGAATTGAGTTATATATATATATATATATATATATATATATATATATTATATATATATATTTACAATATTCTATAAATTCTACCGAATGTTTGGCGTTAATATGTTTTTAGTTCGTTTTTTTCAATTTTTCTCACTGAAGTTTTTTGGTGAACGTTTAGTTTATTAAAATTCAAAATAAACTTATTTTCCGAATTCATGCTGCAAATAACACCATATTTCGATTCCGAATGAATCATCATCAGTGCTTTCTGCTGTTTATATAGGAAAAAATTGACTTTGTCAAAATGGAGATTGACTTTGTCAAAGTGAACTTAGATGGAAATTAGGTGTCAGGTTTCTTTATTGGCTGGTCATCTTCTTTGGTCTCCTTTTCTTCATCAATAGCATCTCATATTCTTCTTTGTCACTATTTACAATGCTAGTTTTTATTACTTCTTTGTTTTCGTTGTTGGTTAAGCGCCGGGTTGGAAGTCAGGTTGTCATTTTTAGTTGTATATTTATTTTTGGTTTATTGATGTCAATTAGGACTGCTTCTGCAATTTTAAGATGCGTGTAGTAGTGGGATGTCACGCCGTATCAATATAAAGGCAAGGAGATGTCATTTATTCCAGGCTGCACGTATGCGTGCTCGAACGGCAGCTTCAGCTGTTCCACTACAATCCAGAACATCCCCTAGATATTGAAACGATATCTCTACCTTAATGGCTTCAAAAACATTGTTATTTCGAATTTTTTGTTGTGGATTGATGCAAGCAGGACAAACAAAATTGGACACTTTAGATAAAGTACCAATTATTTTTGAACAACGTTTGTGACACCGCTGGTTACAATGCTGACACTTGATTGAATTGTTACCTATACCAGTTTTACAAACTGAACAGGGCCATCGTCCAGTAGCTGTAGATTGGATGGGTTCACCAGTGTTCATTGCTTTGGTTTTGCTGATGTTGACTTTGAATCCATGATCGGCGAGTCTGGTGTTCCAATCTTCAAACATCTGTGCTGCATTCTGCTCAGACGTGGCTGTTAAAACGATATCATCAGCATATACTAGATTCCAAATGTCACCAGTGCGTATCGGTTTTGTGATTTCTTCCATCACAGTTATAAATAACAGTGGACTGAGAATCGAGCCTTGGTGAACTCCAACGCCGATGTCAAATGCATCTGTGTTTCCAACCGTTGTGCTGACGAGAGTCTTAGTATTCGTATACATTTCTATCACAAGTCGAACAAGATATTTTGGAATGAGTTGTCGACGTAGACTCCACCTGATTGCTTCACGGAAAACTCGATAAGACTCGATCAAATGATTTTTCAAGGTCTACAAAAATGTGCGATAGTTGTTGATGCTTTGTGAGGTACTTCTCTTGCCGTTGCCGAAAGATGTGAATTGCATCAATTGTTGATTTTTCCGCTAGGAAACCAAATTGATAATTTCCGATTGTGATGCGCAACGTTAATTTTCTCCCAATGATTTTCTCGACAATTTTCAGGGAGTGTTCTAACAGACGTATACCCCGAAATGATGAACAGTTCAATGGATCACCTTTGCCTTTGTATAGCGGAACTGTCATGCTATAGTATTCTCTCCACTGTAGCTTGATCTCATCTTGTTCAAGAACCATCTAATTTTTGTCGGTTTTGATACATGAGGCACCAACTATGTCTTTTCTCGTACGCTTTGCTTGTTTTGCTATACGATACAGAGATTTCATTTGTTCACCTTTCGCTTTTAGTGAGCCACTTTCTGCACTGATCTGTCCGAGCCAGTGCAACTTGACGTTTTGCATAGTTGTTCTTCTCACGGAAAATTTCATGGTCATCAACAGACTTTGATTTATGCCATTGCTTGTATGCAGCTTTCTTTTCAGCTATTGCAAGTTAACTTGCAATTTAACTTTTCAATTTTTCTAACGGTTGATCGTAAATCATTTTCAAGTTTCTTTAGTTATAAACCAAAATTTTTGTTTATTTTATGCATGATAGAACAGAAAAGCTTTTTTTTCTATATATATTATTCTCTAAATTCTGTCTAACGCAGAATGTACCAACATGAAAAATGATACATGGAAAATTCTAATTATAAAATGTATTATTTACATTAAGAAGTGTGAAAGTAAACTATGATTCTAAAAAATATTTGTAACAGTAAATAAATAAAAATAAAATGAAGCTTTTGACATATACGTTTTCGTAGAAAAGAATTTAAAAAAATATAATAAAGTTTTTAAGAACAAACAAACAAAAGAAAAGCAGCTACGTTCATAACCAGCCATATTGGTACTGTACCTTATTCCTTCATACACAGGGACACAAATAAAGGGCAGCATACATTCATTCTTTTAAATATGACATAGAAAAGATTAGATGATTACACACATAATTACCAAAAATGAGTTAAAGTGAAATAAAATGAATAATTATGTGTGCATGAAATGTATAAATACCTACTTTTGATGATAAGATAATGCTAGAATAAAAAATATCCAGTTGGTTAATAAATTAAATCTAAAAATAGAATAAATAAAAAAAAAATAGATAAAAAATAATTTCAATTTTATTTTTACCATACCATAACTGCAAAATATTGTGTGCGTGTTAAGTTTTATGGATGCTTATGATGATGACGGAAAAAACAATGGCCCTCAGTATCCGGCAGAAGAGGGTGCGAAGAATCTCCGGAGATCCAGTCGATGGGGTTGTGGTGCAAGGCCCTGTGGATGGTCTGGCTACGGGCACCCCACTCTATAGTGTGGCGGTGCAAGGCACTATAGATGAAAGGACTACTTGTAGACCAAGGGGTTGGAGGTTTGGTACCTGGAATGTAGGCACGTTGACAGGAAGAAGTTTGGAAGTGGTGGAGGAGCTGCAGAGGAGAATGGTTGACGTGGCTGCATTACAGGAGGTCAGATGGAAGGGTGAGGGTACAAGGTTTGTGGGGGCTAAAGGTGGAAGATATAAGTTGTGGTGGAAGGGGGATGATGGTACGGGAGGAGTTGGTGTGATAGTAAGAGAAGAGTTGGTGGAGAAGGTGTTGGAAGTGAGGCGGAGAAGCAATGGGGTAATTGTGGTGGTGATGGTGTTTGGAAAAGTAATAGTGAGGGTGATATCAGGATATGCTCTGCAACAAAGTAGGAAGGAAGAGGAGAAGGATAGGTTTTATGATGATGTTTCTGACGAGATTGGGCAAGCGGGGTTGAATGAGTTTGTGGTGTTGTTGGGTGATTTGAATGATCATGTGGGGGCGGATGCAGACGGATATGAAGGTGTACATGGGAGATGGGGATATGGTATACGGAATGAGGAAGGGCGTAGAGTGTTGGAGTTAGCGGATGCACACAGCATGGTGGTGGGGAACACTTGGTTCACAAGGGAACCAGCGCGATTGATTACTTATAGGTCAGGGGAACATAGATCGATGATCGACTATATATTGGTAAGGGCCAAACATAGGAAGTATGTGAAGAATGTGAAGGCGATACCTGGTATGTTGCAGCATAGTATGGTTGTGATGGATGTGACATCAAAAGAAATGGGGAGGAGGAAGAAGGATAAGTTTGTGGCAAAGAGAAAGACATGGAAGTTGCAGGATGCAGAGGTGAGGAAGGCATTTGAAGTGAAGGTGGCTGAAAATTGGGAGAGTGGTAAGGATGGAGATGTTTGGGAGAGATACAGGGACTGTGTGTTGGCTACGGCAGATAAAGTATGTGGATGGACGAAAGGAAAGTGTAGGCATGGTGAGACGTGGTGGTGGGATGAAGATATAAGAAGGGTTTTGGAAGTCAAGAAGGAGAGGTTTAGGGTATGGAGAAGGGACATGACGGAGGAAGCGGAGTCTGAGTATAGGAAGGCTAAGAAGGTTGCAAAACAGGCAGTGGCAACTGCAATGACGAAAGCATCAGATAGGTTAATGAAGGAAATGGAATCTGATGTGAGTTCGAGGAAAATGTTCAAAGTAGCAAAGCAGTCAATGAGGGATAGGAAAGTTGTGCATAGATGAGGAGGAAAAAGCTCAGGTGTGGAAAGCTCATATGGAAAGGTTGATGAATGAAGAGAATGAGTGGGATGGAGATGTGGAATCCGCGGTCACACACGGACCTATAGAGAAGGTGACGATGGAGGAAGTAGAGAAAGCAGTTAGAGAAATGAAACTAGGTAAGGCGACAGGGGTTTCGGAAGTGGCGGCAGAACATAT